GGTGCTCTGGTGTGGTTTGCTCCTTCTTTCTTATCAAACATCTATCGTCCTTATCTCTCCTCCTTCTTTTTTGTGTTTGTTACTCGCTTGTAACACCTCTAATCTTCGGCACTTTTATGACCTTATTGTATTGCAAGTGCCGTAAAACTCTTTTATTATTAAAACTTAAAACTAAGCTTATGACTCGGCAAGCTTGGCATACATGTTACGATGTGGGGGAACCAGGCGCTCGTCAACTTTTGGGCATATAGGGTTATCGGTTCCATCTTAAAGCCTGTTCATTTGCCTTGCTTTTTTGTGAAAAAAATATCCATCTGTGTTGAATAGAAGTCAAAATATTTGCAATTGAAGGAGGCCAGGGTCGCCTGGTTTCAGAGGTGAAATTAGCGAGAAAATAGTCACCAAAGTTTGGTAGTTTCCATAGCTTGAGAGTCCTTAGAAACTGAAAATTGATATTATTTGTGCCTTTAAGCAATTTTTCTGTAAAATCCACACAGAAATGTGTTTTTAAATGGATATAAGAGGTGTTGAGTCAAAAAAAGAAATTGAGAAAAAAAATTCTCAACAGTCAGAAGAATGCCAATTTCTTTGATTTCATTATTTTGAGGAGCGCCCAATTTCACCACGACGCCGCACATACACGTCTTACTTTATCTGTACTGGTGACAAATTTATGACATGGTTATACAGAATGTCCCTAACAATATGAATGAATTAAAGGATGGTGTTGAACCAGACCATCAATGATTTATTTATAGAGGCACCAGCCATCCATGTCCAGGTGCTGTTTTAGCCTAAAGGAATGTGTTGAAATAGTTCAGCTTTTTGCAATTAAAATGTGTTCCTATCAATGTAACAGAAAATGGGGGCTCTTGTGGCCTAGAGGTTATGGTGTTGGCCTCTCATTCAAAGGTCCTGGGTTCGATTCCGGGTAGCGACCAAAAAAATTTTCTTCTCTAAAATTGTCTCCTTTCACATCTTTTCCTGATCTCTAACAATGTTCTGTTGTCTGCTTTCATTTCCACTTTCTGCCCCCACCCCCTCACCTCCTTTGCCACCTCCTCTGGGCTCCTGACTCTTTCTGCAGCCTTTCTACTGCTACTCCTCGGCTCCTCCTAACTGCTGTCTTTCTGCCACACCCCTGATCTTCTGGTAGTAAAGATCTACACCTAGCCTTCTTGGACAAGGGCGAAAAATCTCGGAGGGCCCGTGTGCAAGTTGCGCACGTTAAAGATCCCTTGGTGGTCTAAAATCGATAAGAGTAGGCTTCGGCCGCCACCCAGGCTAAATTCAAAATTTCCTATCAACGAAAAAGTATTAGGTGTGTCCCGCGCGCTCATATGACCTTATGCAGTTGCGAGCGCCGTAAAACCCTACACTAAACAAACAAACAAATAACAGAAAATAGAAAAAACTTGGTTTGACTTGTTTGGGAAAATAGAGAATCATCATTGCCTTTCTCACCGTGGATCAGGATATAGGCCACATACAAACACTTTCCACCTTTCCCTATCCTGGGTTAGTCGCTTGATGTTACTCCCTGTCTTCCCACTTTTCTGTACGTGATCCATTTCCGTGACTCTTCTAAAGGTTCCCCGCTGCCGTGGTCTTCCTCTTGATCTTTTTTTACCCTGTGAGTTCCAATCCAACACTTTCCTTGTTATGCAGTTGCTTGACTTAAGATATAGAATATAAGTACGTCAGTATTTCTGTCAGTCTGTCAGTCCAGGTGTATGTGACGGAGTGTCTTCTTGATGGGTTTACAATTATTTGCCCTTTCCTCCTCCCCACACTCTCTCGCTCTCTCTCTTTCCCTCCCTCCCTCCCTCACTCTTTCTCTGTCTGTCTCTCTCTCTCTCTCTCTCTCTCTCTCTCTCTCTCTCTCTCTCTCACTCTGTCTTTCTCTCTCTCTCTCCCCACCTCCTTCACTCTGTCTTTCTTTCTCTCTCTCTCTCTCTCTCTCTCTCTCTCTCTCTCTCTCTCTCTCTCTCTCTCTCTTTCTCCATCACTCTTCCCACTTATTCACAACTAGCTGTGTACTCAGTTCGATGAACGGACTCAAAAGAATCGATCGTCAAGTCATTGTGGGTTTAGAGCGCACTGCACGTGAACGGAAGCCTCACTTGTTTACAATGGCGTCTTAGAAAACGGACTTTCCCAAGATCAGATCTAAACGAAACTAATGAAAAGCTGAAAATTAAACTACAGTGACTTCAGACTCCTTAATATGACCGAGCACCCTTTAAATGATTCTGAACCACCGTTAATTTTTTCAAATTCGAAAGTTAAGTGGTTTGGAAGTTTTAGGCGACCAAAGTGAAGAACTTTCACAAATATTATAGATTCAAAGAGTGCTGTTCACAACTACAGAAAATGCATCTCCATCCATAAGTTCATCAAACGGAGGTCCACCTCCCTTGATGTCTCAACCGGTCGATTCAACAGGTGAAGATGAAACCTCGATACCTCTGTCAGTCAACTCAACAGTTGGAGATCCACAGCCCTCTATATCTCCGTCAGTCAACTCAACAGTTGGAGGTCCACTGCCCTCGATATCTCCGTCAGGCAACTCAACCGTTGGAAGTCCACCACCCTATGTGTCTACATCGGTCGAGATCTCTCCAGGTGTTTCCATGACAACAACTACCTCGACACCTCAGTGTGAGGGAATGCCAGTGACCGGGACTGAGAGGCCAGTGAGGGGGACTGAAGTTATTCATCCCTGTGACACTCCTGTTACCCCAGCAGGGCAGAAAGGTAAGAGTAAGACTCTCTCAACTGGTTGTGGCAGAATAGCGGGCACAAGCCGA